AACCAGTGATGACGATTGGACGACTGGTGGGAGGAATCTACAGTACTTTTGAAAGTCAGTGTCAGAAGCAATAACATAATTCAAATAGACCCATCAACAGAAATCCTGAAGTATAGTCTTGGATTTTGTGCACTAGTATATGATCACTTCGGTGCCCAGCGACATACTCGTACCTCTCGTTTGTGTCCAAGCCTATCGGGGAACGGGCACAAATGGTAGGGGCCTCGGCGACAGGAAGACTCCAAAGGACCATGGCCTTCCCTTCTGTATACGAATGTATACAATACATATATATATATATATCATTCATCATCATTCCATGTTTTGCTCCACATGAACTGGCTGTTTTGGTCCCTTTCTGTCCCACGGGCGAGCGACTTGGCGGCGACGTCGACGTGCGACGCGGCGGACGCACCGTCCGCCAGGCCGAGCCGCACCAGCGCTCGCCTACGCAAGCCGATAGGTCTGTCGGCGGCGCCGAGGCATCGTCTTTCGGGGCTGAAAGGGGAGAAGGTCAGTTCACGGGATGAAGAAACTGACAAGAACAAAATAAGCGGTTCTTTTTTGTTTTTTCATCGTTTTTCCTTTCTTTATCTTGCTTTTTGGTCTTGGTGACTTCGTGGCCGTGTTCCGGGAGTTGTTGTATAGCTATAAGATATTATAAGTGGAGGTATGATATGGGGCACTAGTTGGGGCACTATATTCCGGCTTTCAACCTGTTAACAGAGCCTGATTCATGTTGTTGATGTCGTTCCTCTCAGAGGTGCCAGCGTAGATCTTCAGAATCTGAGGTGAACCATTCCACCAGCGGCGGATGTCAAGCACTTGAAAGCAGCCTGGTAGGGTAGGAGGTTAAATTGGGATGTAACTCTACCATGACAAACGACCACTCTCTTAAATCTGGGAGAGCGTCCCAACATGTCTATTGAATTGTCACTCAGTTTATCGTTAAATAGTTAGCCCCCACGTTGCAAACTGTGGCAATGGGGTGTGGCAAAACGTTTTGCCACAAAAGTTTGTCGTTGGACTCCTCGTTTTGCGAATCCTCGGACAATTTGTTTTGCTATTGTTTGGGAAACACATGCTTGCACGGTTTGTATAGTTTCTTTGTTTTCAATGTGTTACTCCTGTTTGTCTAGAAACATGAAAAAAGGAGTAAAGCGTGACTATTTGCCACTGTGGGACAAGAAAACACGTGTTAACAAAACATCTAACGGAATCTAACGATAGCGCAAACGATCAAGATGATCAAGAGTTGTTGCAAAATCAAATACGTTATCCCAACCTGTAATCAAATCATGAGTGGCATTCCAACCCTCACCAATTCCAGTCAGGCAATTTGTTGGGTAATTAACCCCCTATAGATGCTCGTGCGCCGCTTGGTTCAGACATTCAGATGTTTTCTTCAAACACATGTTCGTTGTCCGCGTTTGCTGCCGGGGGGAGCCTCGCCAGGTCGACCGTGGAGAGCCCCGCGCCACCACCTCGGGCCGGGGAGGGGGGACCACGGGGGAGTGGGGGGAAGCGAAGAATCGACGAAACAGCATGACTCCAATCATATATCTAAGACACATGACATATCGCATATGGAAATATCATAGACATTAGACATATCACATATACCTTTACTCGCATGTGATGGCCCATATGGATCCAGCAAAGCCAAAAAAAAGAAAAAGCCACGTAACACGTCGGAAGGCCTAACGCCATGGCTCTTCACGGTTCCCCATTCGCATGGTGTGATGTCGCGCTCGCGTGGGAGAGCTGGGCTGGGCGAATTCCAAACCAAGGGAGGGTTGCAATGTTATGCGTTGTTTTTTTAAATTGTGTTTAGTTTTATTGTATTATTCTAATGGTGATTGAATGATTTTGAATGTACGGGGTCCAGGTTTTGACCCGTTTGTGTCCTGACTCTTATCTCTTTGTTTCAGCTTTGGACTGTCCTGTCTTCGCGTACTCACGTGCGACTGGTGCAGGAAGAGGCTGATGATCGAGGACACCATGCGAGTGAGAAGACGCAGCAGTGGCCACCTTTCTTTT